TATGATGGGGGAAACAAGCACTCACACTTGCCACTCATACTGACAGACTTGACACTTACTTACTTGACAAGTTTTACCAACCATTACCAACCATTAGTCAATATTGTACAATACAAGTACACTGCAATACAGTGGTCCCTCGGTTAACAATGGTGTAATGGGCCCCTGTCTCATCAACAGAACATATTATATAAATGGGTCAATACATCTGATATTACATTCAGATTCACCACCCTGTTACTTTCCACTGTCTATAAGTATGACATGAGTTGTACACGTGAGCGGGCAACTCTCCCAGGAGGGAGTGGCCCGTAGTCAGCATATCTGTAAGCCTGCACAGCGAGGCCCTCACTCTTCAGTCGCTCACAACAACTTATATTGTAAGGATGTGACCTAACGTTTATAATACATAAACGCCGTCCCTTTCTCATTCACTCTTAAACAGAGGAACTTACGGTCGATCTACACTCAGGAATTATATATACAACCCTTTTATAATAAAACAAGGAACTACCGTTTGGGTTTCGTTACTTAAACCCAAATAATAAATATATGTGAACGGCCTGGTTAATTGCACAACCAGCCGATTCAATGGACCTAAGTGCGAACCTGTACTGTACATGTACTAAATGATTATGGTCCTAAAATTGTTACTGTATGTCTATTGCAAATATAGATTGTTTATACAGGTATTCAAATAAATCACTATCTTACAAGAATCCCAGCAATGTAAGTTTTATTCACCCAGGTCGTTTGGGTGGCAAATTATGAGAAGAGCTTAGTCACTCTTAAGTAATGATAAATAAACACGCAGGCCTTCAGCGCCAACTGTCAAATCATATCTCAAATAAATAAACAAACACCAGACACTCTGTCACCTCACCTCCCCCCCTCTTCCCACACTCACTGGCTACCTCCCTCCTTGTGTTCCCAGACAAAAGATTGGTGAAATCTTTATGCTTTAAGGCGTTTATTTTATATAATATCTCAGACTAAAGTTACGATAATATGATTTGCATTGCTGAAATCCTTGTAAGACAGAGATTAATTTAAATATAAACATCATATATTTCGCTCAATATAAAAATTGTAGTATATTAGTGTACAATACTGTAGTACATTTTATAATATAAAGTTTTCAACTGTATTTTTGGGTAGATTTACACAAATTTCTTCATTTATTTTCATCCATTTACATGCACACACCATACTAAAAGAAACGTAAAAGAAATAAATGATCTTAGTGCAAAGCTGGAGTGCACATGTACTAATTTGATTACGGTACTAAAATTGTTATGTCTAGTGCGAATTATAGGTTGTTTATATATTTAAATTAATCAACATCTTACAAGAATCCTAACAATGTAAATTATATTCACCCAGGTCATTTCACTGGCTTAGTCACTTAAGAACTGATAAATATACACGAGTTAAAACTGGGTCTGTGCCAACTGTCAAACTGCTCCCCTCCCCCGACGCCCCCTCGCTCGCTCGCTGCCTCCCTCCCTCCCTCTCCCCCATCTGCCCAGAGTTGCTGGAATCCTTGTAAAACAGTGAATAATTTTAATATAAACATCATGTATTTTGCACAAGAGATAAAAATTAATCACCTGTATCACATTACAGTAGTGATTTAAGAGTAAAAGTGTCTATGTACGTATATAGTATTCCACATACACGTAAGTATAAATACAAAGTTTATGTGATGATCGGACAACGTCCATTTCGGTTAACGTCATGTCACTAACGTCGGGACTCGAAAATACGTAATGTGAAAAATATTTTATATGACCATGGCCATCGTATGTCCGGGTTGTCGTAAGTCGAGGAGAGACTGTACTTCTCAAAAACGGAAAATCCAAACTAACTTCGCTGATTTTCATCGCATATCACTCGTTTTGGCTCTCCCCCCACCCAAAAATCCTGAATTCCCACGTGTCCTCTAAGATTGTTGGAGGGAGGAGGGGGGTGGTTAGTAGTGTCCTGGTGAAGATTATCCCTATTGGGATTTATTGCCAGGCTCAGCCCACATCTATGCACTGACTTTATCAAAGCGGTTCTTGAACTGGTTTAACAGATGTTGCTTGAACATACTGATCCAGATTATTCCATTTGTCCACTGCTTGTAGACTAAAAGCGCGTCTTCTTTTTTCTTTGTTTGCTCGTTTCTTTCGTAATGTGTGGTTATGTCCTACAGTATCAAGTTTCTTTGATATATTCAGTCTTTGAAAAATTTATTTCTGTCTACATTTTCGTAACCATTCATTATCTTGTACGTCTCAATTAAGTCTCCTCTACTGCTTCTCTTTTCCAAAGTGGTTAATCCCAATTTTGCCAGTCTTCCCTCATAAGATAGGTCAGTCAGTGATGGTACGATTTTTGTTGCTCTTCTCTGCACCTGCTCAATACTGTTCTATTAATTTCACCTCTGTGATACGGTATTCACACCTGTACACAATATTCCAAGTAAGGGCAAATGTAGGTTAAATACAGAGTCTTATAAAGAGTTCTTCATTTATGTAGGTAAACGTTCTCTTAACAATTCCGATTGGCTAGTTGCCTTTGCAATTGATTTTGCAATATGACTCTTAAACATTAAGTTGTTACTTATCACAACTCCATGATCCTTACCTTCCTTTACCACAGTCAGCCTTTGGTTATTCATGTCATAATCAATTTGAGGATTATTATTGCCGACATGCATTACAGTACATTTATTCGGGTTAAAGTTTAACACATACTCCTCTGACCAAGTGTTCATCAGATTTAAATTTCTCTGCAATCCAGAAGTCTCGTCTGAACCCATCTTAAACTCTTCATAGATCTTGGTATCATCGGCAAATGTTTTACATGCTGACATTAATTTCAGATGTCAGATCATTTATATAACTCATAAATAATAAAGGGCCAATAACACTTCCCTGTGGAACACCACTGGTAATGGCTTTCCAGCTGGATTCCACACCATTTATCACCACCTTCTGCTTTCTACCACTTAGAAAATTCTCAATCCAGTTTAGGATTTGGCCTCTAAATCCCAATTTATTTAACTTATATATAAGTCTCTTATGTGAAAAAGAGTCAAATGCTTTCTGGAAATCCAAAAAGACCACATCAAAATTTTTATTCTCATCGTCCCACATAAGCCAGTCTTCAAAACTTTCAAGGAGTTTGGTTAAACACGATCTAAATCTCCGGAAGCCAAGCCATGCTGCTGACAACATATTAAGATATTTTCTTCCAAATGCTCTATTATAGCATTTTTCACTAACTTTTCTAAAATTTTACACACTTGGTATGCCAGGCTAATGGGTCTATAACTGGAGGCCAAGCTATGACCACCTTTCTCGTACACAGTTGTAACCAGGGCTACTTTCCATTCGTTTGGACCTTTTCCACTCCATAGTGATACATTGTATATATGAGTTAATGGACATGCAAGTTGATCAGCCCTGCCTCTTTCAAAATTCTTGCATGTATACCGTCTGGCCCCTTTGTTTTATTTGGGTTTAAACTCTCTAGCATCCTTTTCACTTGCTCTTCTGTCACTTCAATATTATATACTGTACAGTATACTACAGTTTGAAACAGGTCCCTTATACTGGAATGGCTCAATAATTTCATCCATGAAAAACATTTTTGCAAAATCATTAAAATATAATAAATTTTCATCCTCTTCTACGTTAAAGACCGACTTTAATACTTCATTAGTTTCCTTAACAGATTCTGTGCATTCTGAATTATTTGTCTGTACAGTAATTGTAACATGGGCACTCTTGATTTTTTTTCACTGTTTATATAGTATTTATAAAATAATTTACCATTTTTCTTTAAACTCTTTACTATGAATCCTTCAGTTTCTTTTGACTCTTTTAATGTCTTTTGCTGCTTGATTTCTATTTTTAATATATTCCTTAAAACTATACTTATTCTTATTTGCCAAGTACCTTTTCCATACACACGCTTTGTTTTAAACGCTTTGTCAACGACTTTGTTCCACCACATTGGTTTGTTCTTATTATTATAATTCAAACACTTTTTCAGTATACCTGTACACTATATTGATATAGGTTAATATTGATGACCGACCCTCGGCCGAGTTATTTGTTTTACCGTTTATTTTTTTACTTTATTTTCATCAATGAGTTCTGATATGATAATGCAATCACTTCTTGTGCAAACGCTTCATTTGGTAGATAATTAGGCGCCTAGGAACGCACTACTTTGTCTTCTCGGCGGTGACGTCTCATCCCAGGATGTAAACAGCCAATCATATTGACGTATGTATTTCAAAACACTCCACCCCCTGGGCTGGATCAATGCCATTGCTCAGTGTATGCTTAACAACCGTTTGGTAAGGGCGGCTGCTCTCACGTCCACGAAAAGTGTAAAATTAGACCATATCATAGTAAGTTCTTTCTGTTTAATATACCGGGGGGTCGGGGCTTGGCCAGGAAGTTAGGTAAGGTTAAGTAGGTTTGTTTGGTTAGGTTGGTGAGGTCTTCTAACAATGCTTCAGCTGCTTGTTTTTCATATCAACTACGGTTAGGTTAGGTTTAAGTTAGAAATAACCACTTTCTAACATACTTGCACAAACTACGACAGTGTCCACTATGAAACACAGTGAAATTACGGTGTTTTTATAATCGTTTTCTATGACAAATCGGCCACGGGTCAGTCATCAATAATTACCATTGATTTATAATATTCAACACATTATTACTGAAAATCTTCCACTTTTCATCAATTAGATTTATATTTAAGTCATACATTTCAGTCCAATCATGAGTCCTTAAAGCATTCCTGAGCTCTTGAAATCTACCATTTTTTAAAACATAACTGAGATCTCAGGGTGATTTCTGTATGTTTAACTCTCACAACATATTCCCACGTCAGTATAGCATGGTCACTTCCACCTAGTGGCTCCTGATACTCAACATTTAATACTTCAGTATTTACATCCACAATAAGTAGATCAAGTAAACTGGGTTCATTTTCACCTCTTTCCCTCGTTGGAGCATCGATGATCTGTTTCAATAGAAAGTACCTTTACAGATCTAAAATATGCTTGAAAAAGAGTTTTCACTATCATTAACGCAATGAGTGTTCCAGTTAATTTGAGGTAAATTTAAATCGATAAATTTTTACTTTCGGACACGAGTCCCAGGGGGTTGACCAATATGTTTTTCCAGTGTATCTTGGTGTGTTTTAAGTGAATCTGACCTTCATTTTTGGCACAAATTAATCATTTTTGCTTCACCCTGACCCCGACCCCCCTAGCCTCCGCCCCAGGACCCCTGGTAGCCCTAGCTCAAACTAACCTAACCTATCCAATTCATTTCCAACTAGTATAAATGAATTATGTAGGAATTGGATAGCATGATCGTCTTTCTCGTAAAACACGGCAATCAACTTAAAATAATAAAAATAATCATGGGAGCAAGAATCACACTCAACCTACACCACGGCCATTGTAAGACTGGTGATTGAAATTCAAATCCGTACCCAGGCTGCTTCCTTTGAAAAAATTCAAATGTGATTGGTCGAAAAAAATTCGCATGATGAGATCGATACATCATTGGTCATGACTGGATGACGTCAGTCAACATTGCACATGTGTGATGTAAACACACTCATAATTAACTCGGTTATACGCAGATAACATATCTTCACAGAGACGAAGACTGAAAAGTACGTAAAATCAATTAAATTCAATTGGGTCGCTATTTTCCATTTCCCAATGGTAAATATAGTGTTTAAAATGTTCGGAATAGGAAGATCTAAATGTTTCAGTAGTTTATAACTTTGGGAGGCGCTATGTCCGAAAGTAAAATAAAACCTTAAAATCTCTATATTAAGTTTCCAAGTGCAAGATTTTATGCTTTTATCATTTGTACTAGTTTAACGTCCATTCCTGCTCCGCAACTACCCTTTCTGTAAATAACTCCAACTAGAATTTTCACTTTCTCACATTTAATCCAGCACCATAATGCATCCTTCACTCCTCTGTTATTAAGTTCTTCACATTCTTCTAGTAGTAATTTATCTTTAAATATATGACTACTCCGCTTCTTACTTCCTTAGCATTTATGTAAGAATTACATATATATCCTGGAATTCTACAGTATAATTCAGTGGTGATTCAGTCCTGTATAACTCTAAAATGCGTAATTTCCGACGGAATTGAACACCAAATTCGATTGAGTCACACCAAAAAACACTAGAAAACCAATTGCTCAACTACTAGGGCGTAGTGTCCGAAACTGAAGTTACCGATTTCTTCTATAGAAAATGTTCCTCCAATCACTCCTTCCCATGAGTTGGTTTCTCTAAGCATCAGCCAATTCATACTACAATAATCAGTAGCAACACATGCTCTATTAGCCAAGCGCTGTTGCAAAATGCTGGTTATTCTAATTAAGTGCGTCTCCTTTACCTATAATTAGGGCTACACAATGAGCTACTGTAACAAATATAACAACATACTGTTCTTTGAAAAATTCTCCTGGCCGAGCAGTGTTATTGTTTTGATGAGGCGACATGTCTTGGGAGAACATATTATATGATTGGTCAATATGTACCGTCTCTAGGCATATAAATTATAGAAAATTAACAAATATGCTCGTATACAATATATATATATATATATATATATATATATATATATATATATATATATATATATATATATATTATATATATATATATATATATATATATATATATATATATATATATATATATATATATATATATATATATATATAACATTTACCCACTTCCGAAATATTACTGGTACTGTATGATACTTAGAGGTCTAACGATTTTGTGGCTTTCTGGGATATATCATGATAAATTTACTTTTACTTTTATCCTCTTCGCCACTGATCGGCTCGTTAGCCGCTTGGGCGGTTGGTCACGTCTTTGATACGCACTGTTGGCAGATACTGGGCATGCACTGGCTTCTGAATACATCGGAACCTGCTCCAGTGTTGGTCAAGTCAGGCCTTGAATGAGCTTACACTCGGTGCCGTCACAATTATTTCCGGCAGATTGTTGTGGGGAAGGGTGGGGGGGGAGTGCAGACTTTGTATAGATCTATACATAATTAAAAATAAAGATAAAAAAACAGTACTTAGCTGCCTTCTGCTGGTTTTAACCTTCCCTATTGCCTTTAGAGTTCTCTTCTGTTTCTTCTCTTTTTTTTCAGTTCACTTCGGCGATTTGTCGGTATTTATGTCCTATCTTTATGTACACTGCATTTTGCTATGAATAACAGATTTTATACACCCACTCAGTCCTTTAGAAACACAGAAAAATAAAATAAATCTTTCTTTGGGGCGGTAATAGAATGCCTTTTCGGATAGCCAAGCTTATTGATTTTTTTTTTAGCTAGTATTTCCTTACACTTTCTTTTCCCGTTCTCATCAACGAACCTCTGTCCTGCGTGGCAGTGAACAGTGGCATTACCCACATGAATCTGACCTATATATAGTGTCAATGAATATGATGCATTCTTTGTGTACGAACCTCTGTCCTGCGTGGCAGTGAAAAGTGACATTACCCACATGAATCTGACCTATATATAGTGTCAATGAATATGATGCATTCTTTGTGTACGAACCTCTGTCCTGCGTGGCAGTGAACAGTGACATTACCCACATGAATCTGACCTATATATAGTGTCAATGAATATGATGCATTCTTTGTGTACGAACCTCTGTCCTGCGTGGCAGTGAACAGTGACATTACCCACATGAATCTGACCTATATATAGTGTCAATGAATATGATGCATTCTTTGTGTACGAACCTCTGTCCTGCGTGGCAGTGAAAAGTGACATTACCCACATGAATCTGACCTATATATAGTGTCAATGAATATGATGCATTCTTTGTGTACGAACCTCTGTCCTGTATGGCAGTGAACAGTGGCATTACCCACATGAATCTGACCTATATATAGTGTCAATGAATATGATGCATTCTTTGTGTACGAACCTCTGTCCTGTATGGCAGTGAAAAGTGACATTACCCACATGAATCTGACCGACGTATATGTATGTATGTGTGCGTGTGTGCATGTATATGTACGTGTACATGTATATGTGTATGTATATACGGATATGTATGTATATGTGTGTGTGTGTGTGTTTACATATATGTATATGTACTGTCAATGAATATGATGCAACTCTTTGTGTACGAACCTCTGTCCTGCATGGCAGTGAACAGTGACATTATCCATATGAACCTGACCTATATACATTTATATTTGTTAATGAATATGATGTATTTCTTTGTGTGTGAACCTCTGTCCTGCGTGACAGTGAGAAGTGATACCACCCTCAGTGTCAAGACCTGACTGAATTACTCAGAATAGGCAAACTGTACTACAAGCTCTGCCAATAAATTTGTTAAACTAAAAATCAACGACTATATCTTTCTGTGCTATCACTGTGTACACTGTATCTCCCTGTGAATGGTGTATTGTAGGCACAGTTTCAGTCCATGAGAAAGCACACAGACAAAATATAATTTAAAGTCTCTGAGCCTGAACCTTTTATGCATCCATGGGCTCTGACAGGCTGGCTGAATTACACAATTCTCTCTGCCATCCCGGAGTGACAAGAATGGTGCATTTTGTAAGAACCAGTAATCTCCCTTATTCTGTTGGTTATGTCAAGAGAGTTTCTTCTTCATGTCGAGTATGTGCTGAATGCAAGCCCAGGTTTTATCATCCACAGCTGTCTCAGTTGATAAAGCCACCTCAACCTTTTGAAAGACTTACTATTGATTTTAAGGGTCCTTTGCCAGGTGTTACAGCTAATCGCTATCTGCTTACTGTGGTAGAGGAATTCTCTAGGTTCCCTTTTGCATTCCCATGTCCTGATACATCTGCTATAACTGTGGTTAGATGTTTGGCTCAATTGTTTGTTATTTTTGGCAAAAGGCGGCGTCATGTGAAAAAGTTTGGGAATCACTGCTGAGTCTATACGCCTGTATACTGTACCATATTTGACACTGCTGCACCAGGCGCCCCCTGTCGGTTACTAAGGCAAGATGGATGTATATTTGTAGAGAATTATGTAGAAAATATAAAGGCACAAATTAGAAAATAAATAAAGTCCATGACTCGTGTTTTAGTGACACTCCAGTTATTACTCAATATCTATGTTTATCAACTCTCACGACATAAGGGCTTGATCACATCAGAATCACATCAGACGCTCCAAATCCCACATCTGATAAGGAGGATATCGAAAAGTTCTATAATCGTGATGAAAACAAACACTGAACTTTGGAATGGGATTTGTGACGTCACTCAGTGATACATAAATACGATGTGGATTTAGAATTTATCCTATCATGTTTATATTTCTTGAGTGACAAATAGGCTGCGTCAGCATTTTGTACTTTTATATATAAATTCTTAGTAACATGTACAGTACATTGAGAATAGTGACACAGATAAGAAGAAACTAGTATAGTACTGTACACTGCTAGACCTATCAAAGCTCTGGAAAGAATTGTAAAAATAATTTTCCAGGTTACTTATTAATTGGCAGGACCCAAGGACTTACTTTATCATTTCGATGAGTAATAAGAACAAATTAATGTCCTACGAAACACGATTCACAACAGAGGACGTAAACACAAGAAGCGAAGTTCTTCACCTCAGATTTGACCACCCACTCACAGCAGCTAATTTAGTAGTATCAGAGGGTGAAACACGGCTAAACTAGTAGTATAGTAGTATCAGAGGGTGAAACACGGCTAAACTAGTAGTATCTGAGGGTGAAACAAGGCTAAATTAGTAATATCTGAGAGTGAAACACGGTAAACTAGTAGTATCAGAGGGTGAAACACGGCTAAACTAGTAGTATCTGAGGGTGAAACAAGGCTAAATTAGTAATATCTGAGAGTGAAACACGGTAAACTAGTAGTATCAGAGGGTGAAACACGGCTAAACTAGTAGTATCTGAGGGTGAAACAAGGCTAAATTAGTAATATCTGAGAGTGAAACACGGTAAACTAGTAGTATCAGAGGGTGAAACACGGCTAAACTAGTAGTATCTGAGGGTGAAACAAGGCTAAATTAGTAATATCTGAGAGTGAAACACGGTAAACTAGTAGTATCAGAGGGTGAAACACGGCTAAACTAGTAGTATCTGAGGGTGAAACAAGGCTAAGCTAGTA